CACCAATTTTAATGAATTATTTCATGGAAGCCAGTTTTGTTTTTTTTTCATTTGAAAAAACAAGCTTTTGATGATCATTTCGTGACATATTTGAGCTCTCTCTCTCATTCTCTATCTCACTTTTACTTTCTTATCTAATAAAATAATAATGTTTGTTTGCTTTCTGATTAGCCAGTTCGTCCGGTTCGTGTGTGTTTCTATATTACACACATTACAGGTTTGTATACAAGACAACAACAACCACTGAGAAAAAAGTGCTGGAGTTTAAACTCCAGAATAAACTCCAAAACTCGTCAATTCGCTGAGTTTTGGAGTCTAAACTCCAGTTATGGGATCTATTTTGGAGTTTAAACTCCAGTTATGGGGTTTAAACTCCAAAATAGACCCCATAACTGGAGTTTATTTTGGAGTTCAAACTCCATAACTGGAGTTTATTTTGGAGTTTAAACTCCATAACTGAAGTTTATTTGTAGTTTAAACTTCGTGATTGGAGTTTATTTGTAGTTTAAACTTCGTGTTTGGAGTTTATTTTGGAGTTTAAACTTCGTGTTTGGAGTTTATTTTGGAGTTTAAACTTCGATCATGGAGTTTAACTTTTACAAAACAATCTTAATCTCCAATTCTGGAAATACTTTCTATTTTGTAATTTATCTTGGAATTAACATTTTATTATTAAAAATTATTAAATTTATTGGAATTTATTAGATAAATTTTCATTTACAGGTAATACATTGAAAATATAATGTTACAATTGTATAAACATATCATCTCAACACAATGAAAAAATTATTTTTTTAAAAAACAATAGTAAATAAATTAATGCCGATAAAAAGTGTTTGATGTTTTTTTATCCGGTCAGGTCGTTATCCCAACGCAGAACACTCCCTCTTTATTCGGGCTTGTGACCGACACACAACAGTGTGGCGAGGTTAAAAAACATTATACTTACCTTGTATAATGAAGGAAGATAATTATTAAAAAATGATCTAAGTTAAGAGGAATAGTTAAGATAGAAGCTAAGTAAATGAATAATAAATGCATGCAAAAAGCTAAGTAAATGAAAAAAAAATGCATGCAAATTTTTTTTTTTTTTTTTTTTTTGGTTTTTTTTTGTTTTTTGATTTTTTTTGATTTTTGTTTTTTTTTTGTTTTTTTCATTAATAAGAATAATAATAAATATACTAACTTAATCGATTAATAAAATAATCATCTTTATGGAATAAAAAGTCATTTTGATGTGACAAAGATTCCATATTGATGATTATTTTATTTAAATACTTCTCTGTTTTGTACATACCGTAGATAGAATCTTCATCTTTCTGACACCAAAGGCTTCCTTCACAGAAAATTTGTTGTGTTTGAGGATTGATCAAAAATTTATCGACTAGGAGCCAATGTTTTTGTTGAAACCCTCGTGACTTGAATTTTCTCAGGACATTCTTCTTCAAGGAAAAAGGTGCTTGATCTGATTTAGCCTTGGTGAGCTTCATGGACTTGGCCATTTCTTCGTCGATGATGTCATCTTCGATCCAACCATCTCTTCCATCTTTGGACAAACGAAACGATAGTGTTTGCCTCAAAGCTTGCCGTTGACTCAATGATTGAGCTGGAGCCACCCAATTATTCATATTACGTCCATATTTCTTCGAATTCTGGTGACATCGTTCATACCTAAGCGTCGAATTTCGGGGAAGTGGCCCAAATCTTCTAACAGCTTCGGCATAATGAAGAATCTTGTGAATCTTGTATGTCACATTAAAATCCAATGACATTCGCTGACATATGGAAACATATTTATCAATAATACATCCACTAAGGCGATCCATTTCCATCAAATGAGCAAAATCTTGGCTTGATCTTGATGCCAATCGAACGAATTTTGCCATATCCATATAAAGACTTGTTGATTCTCCATCCATAACAGAAAATTCTTTGAAAAATATTTCTCGCAAACGCATGAAACATTCGAATTTCTAAAAAGAAACTGATTAAAGATAATTCGACAAATCAATATGAAGAAACTTACCTGAATGCCAGTACCATAGACGGTGAATTTTTTAGACTTATAGTCAACAGAAATTCTACCATGATATAATTGGAAATGTTCCATTTTGTTGATGATGGCATGTTGCGACAAAGCTTTTTTTGAACTCTTCATGAGTGAAAAAAGCACAACAGCTATAATCCATTCTATACAGCCCTCTAAAAAATAAAATCAATTTAAATGAAAATGAATAAAAATGAGATAACCAGAACTTACCGTGTAGATCATGAAACATATCAGGCGGCATTATGTTGCCAATGTTGACACCGCCAAGTTCAGTTAGTATGCATTCGTTTTTGAGTCCGTAATCATTGGGCCGAATTCGTTTCTCTGGTCTTGGAAGACATTCAAATGTGACATTTGAATAGTCGAAAAGACCATGCAGCCTGCTGGTTTTATAATCTTCACGTTTTGTCAAGCATTCGCGGCAAATGCTGCCTTGTCCAAACGACATCTTGAATCCGAGAATTTCGTTTTGAGCCAAGTTATCGCAAATCAATTTCGCCAGACCAACCTTCATGTTGACAGTTGAGCCATCGCTTTTTTTTACATTGATGCCATGGCGCTCAAGTTTTTTCATATCTTCAAGAAAAGGCCTCAAGATGATGTTCATTATGTTGCTTTGTTTCGGACGATTGACCAAAAGAAAAAGATAGTTTTCGTCCCTACTAGATCGATGCTCGATTGGCAGATTGCAGCAAGATAAGTAACCGGCAGTAAATTTGCGTCCACCTTTACCAAGAAAAGAGAAATCATCGATAGAAATTTCGATTCGGAATTTGCCACAAATTCGATCGAAGAAGTCTTCATCCAATGTATCTAATTCGGAAGAAAAAGTTAAGTTTGTCGAAAGATTTCGACGGTCAGACTCAGAGGTGAAAGTAAGTAGCTTTTCTTTCTCAATTGAGTCGACTAAATAAGGAAATTTGTTAATTATGCATGCGATTAGTTTTTCAATAGGAAAATATTGTATAGGAATACCTGCCAATTCTATAGTCACAGGTTTGACATAAGAATCTTGTTGCATTAAATACTGATCTTGTAAGTTGCAACTAGCAGAGTATTTTGTTAAAATAGGAAATAAAGGGTTAGTAATTTCAAGAATACTTGCGTAGCTAGTTGTGATTACGTCCGCGATTGCCTCAACGTGTTTGTTGGGAATGTTGTTCGTAAGTCGAACTTGAGCCAAATTTGAAATGTAGTTATGAATAAATTGTTTTTGATCATCAGGTAAGGAAGCCACTTTTCTTCCGTAATAAGAATTCGCGGCCGGAGCAGTATCAGCGGAAGTTTGGGCGAAAATCTTTTTAATTTCTTCGACATCACTATTGTCTGATTCCGAATCAGCATCATCTTCAACAGTACCATCTTCAACATCATCATCTTCAATATTATCATCTTCAGCAGCACCATCTTCATCATCATCTTCAACAGTACCATCTTCAATATTAACATCGTCAGCAGCACCATCTTCAACAATACCATCTTCAACAATACCATCTTCAACAATACCGTCTTCAACAACTTCGGTTTCTTTACCGGTTATGGAAGTTGTTGAAGATGGTATTGTTGAAGATGATATTGTTGAAGATGGTACTGTCGATTTCGTTGGGTTCAATAATTCGCCATGACATTCTTGAATATGCTTCGAATAAGTAGCTACTATCCCAAATTTAGAGTTGCAATTCTCGATAGGACATCTCGGCTTTGGAAATTTCAGCTCACACTCATATGCACAGAGATGTTTATTCTTCATCAACCAATTTCGTCGATCCATCAAAGTACGAACCATTGGGGAAAACGGGGTGCCGATCAAATCTTTATACGTCAAATTTTTCATTTTCACTAAATTTTTCAAACTTGATTAATACGAGTTAGAATGATAGTTAAAACGAAATGATCGAATTATTTGGTCGATTGTCAAACTTATATATCAAATTTTGAGTAAAATTTTTTTTTTGAGGCCAGTTTCTTTGTTTTAATTACAAGAGTACTTCTGCATGTTTCAAAAAAAAAAGATAACGATCGTTTGTCGTTTGTTATCACTTGCGCACATGAGCAATAAACAATTATTACTGATAATCCTTGTATGTTTTTTTCTGGTTGTATGGCAAAGGTCATAAATCGATATCTGTCCTTATCTGTTGCGGTGATAGGTTGATTTTTATACACAGCAGCATTCTTATCTTATTAAACAAAAATCAAATCCATTTTTTAAGTTTACTCGATTTTTGAAAAAAGGGCTGACATTTTGGAAAGATGGACAAGATAAATTTACAACCTAAACCATCAATCTTAACAGTCCAACATGATCATAATTATGCTAAAGTTCCAAATGAAGATGAAAACGCATGTTTATTTTGTCAAGCCGATCATTCAAACTTGGATTGTCCGCTTCATTTTATGAGAAAAATTAGAATCCTGGACCAAAAAGGTCGATGTTATAAGTGTTTTAGCCAACAACACTTTTATTCTCAATGTTTCAACAAAAAAAATTGTGAACTTTGCAATAAAGAACATGATAAAACATTATGTATTCTTTATAATGTCAAGTTTCCCGTATGATTTTTTAAAATATCTTGTATAAAATAAAATTTTTTAAAAACTATTTTCAATTTTCGTTCGTTTGTTCAGCGTTTTTTGCACTTGGCTTGCTTATCATTCTTTTTGTCAAATACATATAAGATACATTATAAGAGTTAAAGGGGTCATAAAAAGCGAAAACAACCAAAATTATCATACTTTTAAAAAATCGCACACACAAGATTTTGTATCTTAAAGAAAAAAAACAAAATATGAAAAGGTTATAATAATAATTTTTATTGGACGCACTCTGCCCGAAGGCACTTGTACGATATTAGAAAAATAAGAAAAATTAACAAAATTATAAAAAGAAAAAGATTAGCGTGAAGAGTAAATATGAAAAGGTTAAAAACAAAACAGAAAGGTCAAGTATAATCCACCTAAAAATCCAGAGTTGTTTTCTTTTTTTCTTCTTTGGTCTTTTGCTTCTCGTTATCAATTTCTTAAATCAATGATAGTATGACCACACGAAAAATTTTTCTTGTTTTTTTGTTCGAATTGTGTTGTTTGGTTTCAAACGAACCTGCCAAAATCTTCAATATAAACCTGCAAAAAAAGTTCAGAATTCACATTCGTGATTTTCGTGCAATATGAATAATTCAGTCAAATTGCTTATTCTAAAAAAGTTCAATATTACGGTTTATCGGTTGCCCGTGTTTGAAAGGGTAACACGGGATTTCGCTGCAGAAATTGGTCATTGTTCGTCCAATAGGGAACTTAATTTCCATCTTAATGTAATCATTGACTCTATTGTAGAGGATTTGATCAATTGGACAACAATTCAAGCCCACGCAGACGGAATCAGTGATTCCCGGATGGTCATTCATTCAATTCCAGACGGAATTTTTCGGGATGTGTTCAAAAAGGTCGGATTCCAATTTCCGAATTTGGCTGATCGTTGTGAACTTACATTTGACAACAAAAAATTTGTGGTAAGTATATATTGATAGTATATTACCATTTTCTAACAATTTAATTTATCTTTTCATTAGGATGTGATGATGAAAAAGCTGAGGACGAAGAAAAGTAGCAGCCGTCAATTAAAAAAGAGGATGGCGTTGAGAGAAATGCGAGTCAACTAATTTTTTTAAATTCCATTTTTTAAATTTCATTTGTTTCATTTTAAATAAAATTGCTGCTATATGTAAATAAAAATTATTATTAAATCGATTTCCGTTTATCCATCGACGATCGTATTATTTAAACAATTTCATTTAAATATTACATAGTTTCAACAATAACAAATTTAAGTAATCGATTAAGAAATTCAAATAGTCATCTTTCATCGAAATGTAATGAAATGTATCAAAATCTAATCCTTCTCATCTTTTCTACATTATAAGTAACATATCCAACGATGATCAATATTGATATTCTTTTTTGTGACATTTTTATCGCGTAAAGATTGTCATACTTTGATAAGCAACAAATGTCAATGCATTACAGTTTAAAATTGAAAATGAAAAATGAAATGAAATGAACAAATGTCAATATCGAAAAAATAGATCTTGTACAATCTGGATTATTCTTCATTGATGTTAATATTTGTTATTTTCAATATCAATTTTATTTCTAACGAATTTTAATAAACAATTTCGATTAAACATTTGGTAGTAAAAATTTTATTTATGTGGGTTCTAAACACTAAACCTCAACAACAAAAACAACAAAACAACAAATACAACAACAACAACAACAAAAACAACAACAACAAAAACAACAAAAACAACAAAACAACAAATACAACAACAACAACAACAAAAACAAAAACAAAAACAACAAAACAACAAATACAACAACAACAACAACAAAAACAAAAACAAACAAAACAACAAATACAACAACAACAACAACAAAAACAAAAACAAAAACAACAAAACAACAAATACAACAACAACAACAACAAAAACAAAAACAA